CACCTATGATAATAATTAGTCATCCTCATATAAACAGTTCACAAAAATGAAATAAATTTAATGTTTATATAAACAACAATTTGATTCCTTTAGTTGTCCAAATTTCTCGAATGAAGTATTGTCATTATTTTTAATTTTGACGAGTTTTTCGTTCGTTTTTTTCTTTTTATCGTAACGTTTCAGATCATTTTTATATTTAAAATGCCTTGAGCGTTGGATTAAAAAGAAACAAAAGCGAAAATGAAGTGAAAGAAAATAATTCTAGTAAATTTATAATAATTTATAATAATTTGATTCTTTAACGTAAATAAGTATTATATACAACATACGTCACTGTTTAATTTTTAAGTACTTCAATGGAACACAAGCTAAAGGATTGTGAATACAGAATACAGAACTTACTTAATAAAATTATCAGTACTAGTGATTCTATGCTTGCATGTTATAACTTTTACGATATTAGATTTATGAATGAGAGTGGAATTTGTGAATGGAATTAATCAATGAAAACTGAATTTTAGCAATGAAAAACAAATTCGATTCAGGAGTCAGAATAAAACAATAAACTAAACACCAATGAAATTCATTTGTCCATAATGACACTTACTTTATTTGATGGTATATAAGACTTATTTATTTCCAAAACAAAAGAATACAAAATATCTTCCTGGTTTTATGCGTGAAGCTGAGTTATATGATATCTATAGACTTTACCAGTACTTGTAACTAACCTACCTTCATAATACAGTGATATAAGTAAATAGGGATCGTCATATAACGGTAATCTTAATAAACAAAAGTTTTCTGTCACTTTGTCATATATTTGTGGATAAAGCAAATAAAAACAAACAAATAAATATTAACGTTTAACTATGTTTTCTTTTCTTTTATCGTTGATTTTTATCATGTTGCTTTCTAGGTTAATATGTATTTAGAAAAAGTGTATTTTAACAGAAAGTGACGATGAAGAAAAATAAAAGAAAAACGAATCAAAATTAGCAATGAAAATACTTTCATCTAAACAATGACATAATTTAAGATTCGAACAATACATTATACATATTCTTTTTCTACTCAACGCTTCCATCTTTTGAATCTAAGCCAATAAAATTTTGATGCATCCCTATAACAAATAACTATGTTTTTAGGTTTTTTTATTTTGCTGTAGGAAAAAACGTTTTAAAAAACTCGAGAGAGAAAGACTGTAAATAAATGAGCAGGATTTTTCACTTCGTTAAACAAGATTACCAAGTATTATTTGTAATCGTTTTATTAGTATAACCAGACCCATCGCCAAGGGCTGTGGGACCGTACTCACAAAATCATTTGACACACCCTTTAAAAATGATGAGAACTCAATTTTAATGTGCAAACTAGTCAAAATTAATAACGAAAATCCTTCATTTAAACAGTGATATTATTTAAAACCAGAACAATTCCGTTTCAACGCATCAAAGAAAGAAAAGAAAGAAACACCATTTTTATGTTTTAAGTTACTAACATCTTTTTACAGTGAAAACGTTAGAATCCTTGTTGAAGTTAATTCAAGTAAAACTGTAAAAGACTTAGATTAACTCCGACAAGATACATTCATTTGTCAACCTCCTTTATCGTATACATTTCACTTTCAGCCTTTATTTGCTAAAACATTCCCGTTTTTTACAAATACAATCATCCCCAAATAAATAAATAAGAAGACAAATACACTGTAACTGTTTATTTCCTATTGGAACCGATACTACAAGTTTTGAAAAAGAAAGTAATAAACATTACTATCACTTAAGAAGACCATTTAAAAATTCGTCAAAGAAAAAGGTGAAAGTTCTTGAGTCAAATGCTTTGTGAGGAAATATAAAAGTTTAAGAGTTGGGGAAAAAAAAGGAGATAATAAAGAAAAGTGATGTTTACCTTTTGTAAGTTGAGAATTAGATCAATGGAGAAAGAGTTTGTTGATGTCTGTATAATAGAAGCGGATTAAGGTGCTATCCAAAGATGAAGTGACTGCCCCTCTCCGCTCGGCCGATAACGAGTGACTGGCTTCTTCGACCAAAACCTCAACTCGGTTTGTGTACTTCACCGAGAGACAATGTAACTGACATACGATCCGGGTATGGCCTGGAGTTGCGCCCCCCCACCACCACCACCATTACATTTCTCCCTCTTTATTTTTCTACTATTTCTTTCTCTCTTACTCACTTACTCTCTAAATACATACACAGATACATACAAGCACACACACACACACACATATATATATACACATATATATATATATACATATATATGTATGTATATTTATCCTAGTTTCACTTTTTTCACTGTCTCTCTGATAACCATTCTTTTTATTTCTCTTTCTTTCTCTCTTTCTTTCTTTCTTTCTTTCTTTCTTTCTCTCTCTCTCTCTCTCTCTCTCTATCTATCTATCTATCTATCTATATATATATATATATATATATATATATATATAGTTTTCTATTTCTATCACTTTATTTTCACTCTATTTTTTGCTTTTTCTCAAAATGCTTTTCTGTCTGTCTCTCTCTCTTATATATATATATATATATATATATATATATATGTGTGTAAAAATTTCTCAGAATTAATTTGTAGATACAGACAATATGTATAAAGCAAAAAAACTATAGAAAACTGGAAAAAATGTAGTTTTAGCCGACGCGTTTTTTTTTCGTTTTTTTGTCTTGAAAAAGACCATATTAGACGAAACGCGAAGGCTACAACTACAGTTTTTCCTATTGTCTTTTTCATATATATATATATATATATATATATATATATATATATATATATATATATATATACGGGTGTGAGGATAAATTGTCATTTAAATTACTCAAAAATGAAAATAACGCTGACATCTCATTTTAACATATATATTTACCAAAATTACACCGAAATATCTTGAAATACTAAAGAGTAAATTTATTCAATAAAATTGCCATTGGCTTCAACCATGGCCTCCAGAGGACTTTGGAATCTCTTGCAACTCTTCTGGGTGGTCTCCTTGTTTAAGTTGGTGAATGCAGCCATAATTTCTTGCCTTCAGTTCGTCTTTGGTGCTACAAGGAGTTTTGTTGGTCTCTTGCTCAACTGTGCCCCACACATAATAATTAAGTGGGGTTGCAGTCTGGGGAGTTAGGTGGCCAGATGTAAGAGGTGATGGGGTTGCAGAAATTGTCTGATAGCCATGACTGGGTTCTCCTGCTTGTGTTGCATGGTGCAGAGTCCTCTTGCCAGATATAGGGTCTTCCAGCGGACACCCACTTGACCCGGTGCAGCACTACCCTCCCTCAAGGCACTTAATGTAGGAAAATGAATGGGGACAAAATGTCACCATCACTACTGATCACTCCAAACCCCATGTTGTTGACTGGATATATCCTCCAACTCTTTCTGAATCTTGTCCTCAGATTGACACCCAAACATTCTAAAATGTTCGTATTCAAACTTCCGGTGTGAATGCCAAGCAGTACAGCATGTCGTTTCCAAATTTTAAATTAAAAATATAAAATGTGGACAATTTACCCATCGCACCCTATATATATATATATATATATATATATATATATATATATATATATATATATATATGGTAATACTGTTTTGAAAAAAAAAACCTCGGTTGGCTCAACTTGTAATATAACAAATTGATGTCCAAGGAACAATTGGAAACAACAAAAAGAACAAAACACTGTAGGAATCTTCTCGTCAAATGCTTGAGCTCCAAGTTCAAAGAAAAAAATAATCAAAACGAGTAAAAGATTAAATGTAAAGTGCTCAATGCACTAAGTAGAGCAAAAACTAAAATAATCCAAAGGAGCCAGGGAAACCTGCCTAGGTTTCACCAAAACGGATCTTCAGGGTAACACTGACTAAAAAGGCAAGTAATGGAAAAATATTTATTGATAAAACCAAATAAAACCATGACCACGTGACAAAAAAAAAAAAAAAACAACAAAAAAAAACAAACACAACATGTTACACTAAAAAAAAACTACAACATGTTACTTATGGTTTTATTTGGTTTTTATTTGGTTTTATCAATAAATATTGTTCCATTATTTGCCTTTTTAGCCTGTTTTACCCTGAAGATCCGTTTAGGTGAAACCTAGGTAGGTTTGCCTGGCTCCTTAGGATTATTTTAGTTTATATATATATATATATATATGTCTGTATATGTAAGCACTTACTTGCACATGTATTCTGAAGAGATTTTACCAGTCTCCAATGTGCTATTTTGCATTGAAGTCTATTTACCACGCTTTCTTTGCTTAGTCCGACACATCTTCAACTTTATGGCGCACCTAGTCATGGTTAAACTTATTATATTAATAATGATTTGCAAGACTAAGTTGCTTGATTATTGTGTGACGTCAAAGTCTTACGTCTTGGATTTAATTATGCAATTGCTTGCTTACGTAGATAAGATGTTGTAGCTCATCTGGTAGGGACGTCGCCCCGTTCATCAAAGCCAATTTTTTGAAAGCTAAGGGCATGATGCAATGTTTGAAACAGGTATTTATTTTTATTTTGTTTTCTTGTTGTTGTTGTTGTTTTTTAACTCAGTGTTATTTCTTGTTTTTTTAGGGTAGGGACAATTCGGCGTACGTTACGGTTGTAATCGATATATGCCATTTTTTTTAATTTCTCGACCCTTCGTATGTGGTTCTGTATTTTGGAGTGCTTAATTAAAAATCATCTTCAATGCTGGATCGGTGATTCTTCAAAATATACCTGACCTGAGAAAAATAATATTAGCGACAGAAGAAAGAGGGTTTGTTGTGTGTGTGTGTGTGTGAGAGAGAGAGAGAGAGAGAGAGAGAGAGAGGGTGTGTGTGTGTGTGTGTGTGTGGGCGTGATCAAACAAGTTAATGGTTTCTAAGATAGTACCACTGTTTCTTTAAAAATAAAACACTAAGGGAAATATTTATACGTTGTATATCGTTATGTAAGTAGATAAAAAAGACGGGTCTGTGAACAACTTAAAGGAATAAAAGAATTGGAGTGGGGAGTAAAATGAGAAAGAAAGAAAGAAAGAAAGAAAGAAAGAAAGAAAGAAAGAAAGAAAGAGAGAGAGAAAGAAAGAAAGAAAAAGTAAGGAAGGAAAAGAAAGAAAGAGTTAAGAAAGAAAGAAAGAAAGAAAGAAAGAAAGAAAGAAAGAAAGAAAGAAAGAAAGAAAGAAAGAAAGAAAGAAAGAAAAAAGAAGGAAGGAAAAGAAAAAGGTTAAGAAAGAAAAGAAACAAAGAAAGAAAGAAAAAAGAAAAAAGAAAGAAAGAAAAAGAAAGAAAGAAAGAAAGAGTGAGGAAGGGAAAGAAAGAAAGAGTTAAGAGAAAAGAAAGAAAGAAAGAGTTAAAGGAAGAAAAAAGGGAGAAAGAAAGAAAGAAACATGAAATCAAAAGAGAGAGAACAGGTTGTTTGTAATTCAACAAACAAGAACATAACGAACGGTTTGATAGGGTCGCTTGAGAAAGAGTGGGAATTGTGACCGAGGCAGTGACGGTGATGATGAAGCAAGATAGATGATGGCAGTGGGAGAGGAAGGATTGCGCCAGTAGATATTTAAAAACATGTCTGCGAGGGATGGACGAGTAAGAAAATCTCAGTTTTGAGGCTGAGAAGTGGGTATAGGGTGATCAAAACAAGCAAAGACTAAAAAAAGAAAAGACACGAAAAACCAGCGTATTTTAATTTAAGTGTAATAAAAATGGAAGCATAGGAACCGCCCTCGCTCAGCTATTTTAATGTCTGCAGAATTTACTTGCTGTCGGCAGATTACCAAAGTCGAATTGCACTAAGAATGACCAGCAAGAGAATTGAGAAATCAAATGCATTCAACACGCCAAAGTCACTTCCTCAAAAAAAAAAAAAAAAAAAAAAAATTCTGTGAGAATGAAATATTAAATCTGCATGTCTCTCTTATCCTAATGTTCCTTTGCCCTGTACAAAGCATAGGACGAGTCAAACGTATTTTATTAACAATGGTCCGCGAGATTAAATCGGAAGATTGCGAGATTAGATCGGAAATCATCGCTCTACAACAGGCGTCCCTATGAAATCAGCATAAGTACATGGATATGTTTTCATTTAGTGGAAATCTTTAATATTAAGAATCATAGACTAATTGCCAAGAGAAAACAAAAGATGGATAGACTAGTTAAATTGGTTGGGCTTAGATATTGACTCTTGTTCGATTATTTAATGTTGAACTTTGTATTTGGCACGAAGTAAGGATCAAAATCACTACTCATGAGTAAAGGTCAATCAGACGAGTATCGATAATCCTTATTCCACGTCGATCGATAAATATGAACAAGCTAAGAAAGAAAGAAAGAAAGGAGGAAAACGAAAGAAAGAAAGAAAGAAAGAAAGGAGGAAAACGAAAGAAAGAAAGAAAGAAAGAAAGAAAGAAAGAAAGAAAGGAAGGAAAGAGGAAAAAAGAAAAAAGCAGAAAGAAAGAAAGAACATAGAAGGAAAGGAAAGAAAAAAGAAAGAAGAAAGAAAGGCAGCAAGAAAGAAAAGAAAAATAAGAAAGAAAGAATTAAAAAAGAAATATCTTTTATTAAAATCATGTCATTTTTGTTGAAATATCTATGTATTTTTATTCTTTGCGATTGCGGGCTTACGGCCATATCACGTTGAAACACTGGTTTTCATACGATCACCGAAGTTAAGCAACGTCAAGCTTGGTCAGTAGCTCGATGAGTAACCGCTTGGAAATACCAGCTGCTGTAAGCTTGAATCTACTGGCGGTGCAATGGATAATGCCTCGAAACTGAAAATCGAAGAGCCAAGTTCGAATTCACTTATCTTATATTCACTTACGCACAAATACCCTTGGGGAAGATATGAATGTAACCCTCCTACTCGCTAGCTATGGGTTAGTTAGCAGGACTAAAATTATTATTAGTTCAAAAAATTCTTACAATCTAAAAATATTTTCTGGCTTTAAATAAACTGTCAAAGGTTGATAAGCCGTAAAAAATGTTAATCAATCATTGCGATTGTGGATGCGAGTGTAACTGTTAGCGAAAAGAAAAGAGAAATTGCTGAACCGAGTTCAAATTCAAGTCGAGTTCGTTACGTTTACTTTCACAAGATGCCCTGCGGTAAATAATGAATCCATCTCTTCTCCTATGAGCTATGGGTTAAATAGCAAGGTTGACTGAGATCAGTTGCACTGAGATGGCAACCAGTCTATGAGAAGGAAAATTCTGAATTCGAAACCAGCTTTAAGAAGGATGTGCTCTGTGAGGCTAACTTGACGTAGATATACGACGGCTGCTATGGCCGCAGTTCCTGTAGGGCTCCAATGACCCTAATGAGTTATGTAACTCGTGACATAAAGTTATTTGCGAAGATATATACTCACATGCAAAGAAGTTAAGAAAAAAGTGTTAAATGAAATATCATCGTCACACTCTTAAAAATCAGATAGCATCGTCAGCGATCATAAACAGGCCCAATACTTTGGAAGAACATAAAAACGTCGTAATTAAAAGCGAGACAATGAAATCAGACATGGCTGACCATGTAAGGATGGAAAAGAGTAGTCATCAACCCCTGTGGAATGAAGTAAAAATACTAGACAGAAAACACTGGAGAATCAAACCTCTGAAAGAATCAGTGTGTATCCTAGGCAATAAGAACCTTTTTAGTAGTCCTAATATAGAAAGAAATACAATATGGGAAACTTTAATAAAGAAATGACAGTAAGGCTCCTAGTGAATTAAAGAGGCGGTTCGTGAATTTTTTGACATAGTACTTGTAAGTTCAATCCAAGCGATAATAAAGCAGTACTAAAGAAGAACTAGACGAGATATCCCGAGATATGATCAGCGAAACGAGAACAATCTGTCCCCGTGGATTAAGTAAAGGGTTCGGTTTAAAGTTCCCTGAATCGACAAGCATCCATTGAAGGTCGGAGAGAGCAACAGCCGAAACGTTGTGATGATAATAATAAAGATGAGGACAATAGTCTGCATGTAAATTTCGGAAATTTTAAACAACCGGCGATAGTAACATTTATTTTCTGGTCACAATTTCATCAAATTCAAATTAACTATTTTCCAAGTGCCAGTTTAACATACATACTGAATCGTTTGTTTTTACATTTCTTTTTATTGTAATTTTTTTTATCAGCATGATGATAATGCCTCTAAATCGCAAGGGGCTGCTGGGAATGAAAGATAATGAAAAAAAAAACTTTAGAATGTACCGGAAATCCAATCCTAAACAGGGAACAAGGGATCAAACCTGGGAGGAGCGTGAACCGGGCGATAGGCGGACCTAAAAATTAGATTTTAACTCATTTTTACTAGGGCTGTTTTTTGTTCGTGATTTACATTTAGTTAGAAGTTTAGATAAACTAAAATGGTCCAATCCCATAGTAATCGTAGAGAACTTATAGATCATGTGACTTTCAAAGCATCTTTTTCTGAATAAATTATATTCTCTTTTTATTAAAATGGCGTTTTCCATGTCAAGATTGTGAATGTTTCGATGGCATACAAGTGTATTGCGTTTGGTGTTTAATTTTACGTCCTTTAAATATCGTCGAAATTGTCTTATATATATATATATATATATATATATATATGAAAATTTCTCCGATTCAACCAGTAGAGAAGACAATATTTATGAATAAAAATGACAATAGGACAACTAGTAATTGCTGACACGTTTTTGATAAAGTCGACATTGGACGAAACGCGTCAGCAATTACTAGTTTTCCTATTTCTTATCATTCTTATATATATATATATATATATATATATATATATATATATATATATATATATATACCATTCTGTTGGATTCTCATCCAATACTTTCTTTTATATATATGCATGAGCGTTTTGAGATGTGTTAGTTTTTAATGTGTTTTTGCCTGTACAATCAGTGCATCACTTATTCAATTTATGTGTGCGATTGATTGATTTGGTTTTTTACGGCTTATCAACATTTTGCAGGTTATTTAAAGTCAGAATGTATTTTTAGATAGTAAGTAACTCTGCTTTCCGATTTCCAATTTCGAGCCGTTATCCATTACACCACTCACACATCCAAGCTTACAGGATCTGGTATTCCAATGCGGTCACCCACCTAGGTACTGATCAGGCTCGACGATGCTTAACGTTGGTGTTCGTACGAGAACTGGTGTTTCAACGTCATATGGCATGAGTGCGTATGTGTGTGCGGGGGGGGTGCGTGTGTGTGTTTTGATCGAAAGAGAAAGAAACAGATAAAGGCTTGTCCTTTCGGGGGCGGTAGAGAGGGTGAGATATGATAGGATAAGGTATCCTGAAAAGGAGAGGAAGGAGAGAGAGAAATGGAGGGATAATAAGTAGAGATAAGAGGAGGGGGTGAATGTACGTAGATCGAGTGGGCCCTAGAGAGTAAAAAAAAAAGAGGAAGAAGAGACGGAGGGGTGGGGCACCTGCGGGTGACGATGGCAGCGGAGGTGGTGGTGTAATGAAGGTCTAGATTTTGGATTGGAGGAGAGCCGAGGCAAGTTGGCAGTCGGAAAGGAACGGAGATTGGTGAGGGTGGGGTTTCTGTCAGAGAACGCCGCCCAAGATCGTCAGGAATGGCAACCATGCCGTCCAAATGGGCGCAATAAGTACGCGAACAAGTAAAACAAAGACACACAGACAAACAGAGGGAGAGAGAGGGGGGGGGAGAAAGAGAGCGAGAAAGAGAGAGAGAGACTGAGGGGTTGGGTTTGTGTCTGTGTATGTTTGCATAAATACATGCAAAAGAGAATATATGTTAAAGTGTGCATAATCACACCCTTGGTTATATTACTGTTCATGGCTACACATACTAGCACATTATAAACATATTCTCACATTATTATATAATTCATCATGAGTATATATATATATATATATATATATATATATATATGTGTGTGTGTGTGTGTGTGTGTGTGTGTGTGTGTGTGTGTGTGTGTGCGTGTGTGTGCGTGCGCGTGTGTGTGTGTGTGTGTGTGTGTGATTAATAAAAATTTGTCACTTAACTGACTGATGTTATATTCACCACCTCGACTCTGGAGTTTCGTAGACGAACCTTTTAGTAATCGTTCTGTCCACACGTCAGGGGTTTCAGCAATTGACTATATATATATATATATATATATATATATATATATATATATATATATATAGTTTCAGGTGTACTATACTTATGGGATAAAGTCCTCAATATCAGCGATAAAGCGTCTGTAAATGCAAAAGTGAACATTGAAGTCAACACTTTGAGGTGACAGTCTATTTCATGCTAGACGCAATCGTCAGGCCACGATGGCGTCTAGCATGAAGCAGCCTGTTCAATGTTCACTGATATATATATATATATATATATATATATATATATATATATATATATATATACACTTTAAAATCCAGGAAGTCAGTTGAATCCGCTACCTTTGTTTCAACCTGACGGTATCCACAGATTTATCAAATGACCTCTTATCACTTTATTTTTTTTAAATAAAGCGTTATTTTTTTTCTTTTAATAAAGCGTTAAGAGGTCATTTGATAAAAATCGCCTGAGGATAACCGTAAGGTTGAAACCAAGGTAGCGGATACAACTGACCTGATTTTTAAAGTTAAAAGTTGAAATTGTTATTTTTAGTTTTATTTTAGTTTTCACACGTGTATTGAGCACTGATTCAACTCTGAACATTAACCTTTTATATATATATATATATATATATATAGGCAAGATGGAGTAATGGATAGCGGCTCGGATTGAGAAATATATGATAAAATAGTTTTACGGTATGCCGTATTTATGGGTTTATGTGTTCAATATTAGGGATAGAGGGAATTTATATATAAAAGTGGACATTGAAGTCAACACCCAGAGTTAATAGTCTGTTTCATGCTAATTGGCCTGACGATTACATTTAGCATGAAACAAACTTCAATGTCCAATTTTATATCTATATATATATAACTGGACTCTCTCGTCGATTTTCACGCATGAGGGTCAAGCAACGTTATTAGTATATTAAGAAATTACTTCACATAACTGTTGTTAAATAGCTAAGTGAACAATTTTTTATATTTTACTTTTATTATTATTGTATTGAGTCACTGAGTGAGCTGCACCCAACAAAGTACGAAACCCAATATAGCCTTCATGACACCCAGTCTGATAAGGAAGGAGATACCAAGCACGTGCATCACAGGCCAATGTGCCTGTGATATGGTGACAGGTTTTCTGAAAAACAATGCATAACGCTGCCGTTAAAAAAAACTTTCGGCATGAGTAAACCAATTACTGATTGAAGTTGATCTCAACTATCTTAATTCCCAATGTTATCCCAAGTTATTTTATCTGCCACATCCTTCAAACTTAAAAACAATACACCCGGTCATGATCACCCTTCTCTACTAATCTTACTTATGAACAAAGATGACATCTGTTGTTATTATTATTATTATTATTATTATTATTATTATTAATATTAATATGAATACTTTATTTGATGATATCGAGCATTATAAATAAAAAAAAATGGTTACCTTATCTTTATTTGGCATAGATACGTTACCTTACAAAATTACCCTGGTAAAACGATTTTTGTCGAAATACAATCTTTATATATATATATATATATATATATATATATATATATATATATATATTCTAAAGAAGTAATGGATTTTTTTATTTATTAACCCTACAGAGTTTAACCACTTAAAACATTATTTTTAGTGGATACTAATATCTGAGCAGATGTTCCGTTTATTTATTAGATAGTAGATATATTTATTTTCACCTACCGAGCTTAATATTCCAGAATCCTACTGAATCCTGCTGGAGAGCGCATATTTTCTTTAATACGATTTTTCGAATATTCAGGCTGGTAGACGAAAATTAATAAACCCATTCTTTAATAAAATGAGTATCCACTAAAAATAACGTTTAAAGTGAGAAAAGTAACTTAACATTGTAACTTAATTATGTACAATAATGGATTCTATGTAATATGGGTGAACAATTCAACTAGAAAAATTGAAAATAGAATACAATGTTTCTAAATACAAATTAGAGACATGTCATAATAGATAATTCGTTCTTAAGTAAGTCAACAATGTTTTGCCAGCAATTTTTAACATAAACTTGAGATTTTCCGTCTTAAAAAGTGGAATAATTTTACCACATTAAACAAGGATAAAAAAAATATTGAATGGTATAAAAAATAGTGTTTTGTCGAAACTTAACATTAGTTAAATAAATCCATGAATTTGGATGAAAAAAAAAAGGACTTTCGATTAAAATTTTTCATTCTTTAATAGTCAGTTGCGCATAGTTTAATTTATAAATATTGGTAGAAAAAGATAGCATGGGTCACAAATTACAAAGCACTGCCCGGGGCCCCCACCTGTCGGGGAGTTCGGCAGTTCGGCACTATATACATATATATATATATATATATATATATATATATATATATATATATATATATATATATGGATATCTCTCTATTTACGACGTATGAGGGTCATGTACCTGCACATATGGTTTGATATGATTTGTGAAGCCAACCACACTTTTTGAAGAGCCGACTACAGAGACCACGTGCCACAAGGTCCCCAAACGACCCTCCGCAGGTTTTGAATTCAGAGTTATCCTTCTCCTAGATCAGGCTATAGAACCCACTCCGACCTGCTATTTACCCATAGCTGGGGGAAGAACGGTATTAGCACGTATCACGTTATTTCCCAAAGCTATTAACACGTAATGGATTCGACTGGAATTCGAACTCGGCTCTCTGATTCCTCAACGAGCCGCTATCCACCACTCCACCGTCTGTCTGTCTGTCTGTCTGTCTGTATGTATGTCTCTCTCTCTCTCTCTCTCTCTCTCTCTATATATATATATATATATATATATATATATATTTCATTGAGATTTCTCGAGTTCGAAATATATATGTACATATATACTAGCATTTATTCTCAATATGCTGCTGTAGAACCACATCCCCGTTGCCTTGACTCCTTCTCATCTTTGGACAACTTGTGCAGCGTTCATTGGTATTTAGGAGAATTGATATTACATAACAGTTCAGCGCTCTTTTCTTTGTTTCTAACGAAAATTTCCCGTTTCTTAGTACTTTGTTTAATTTTTGGAAGGATTTTTTGTTATTCCATTGCATCTTCGGATTCCGGTGTCACATTTTACACCCTTTGTTAAAACTCTTCCCAGATAATTAAACTTCTGTACTTGTTTGATTTTGACATCTCCAATTCGTGTCTCCCACTTTGTTCTATTCCTCTAGCTGACGATTATACATTCTGTCTTCTTACATCATTAACTTTTATTGATAATGTAAGAACCAAAAAAAATCTATAATGATGGCAATAACCAACCACAAAGGAAGCAACCTCCAGGCTAAGCATCAAGTTCGTCCAATGTAGCTCTACATTCATCACTAAAAATTACTGTTGAAAATCAGTTTTCATGTATTACTTCGCCCGAATTATACGAGTTTTTGTTTGTGATGCTTACATAAAGATGGTAATTTGGTTGCTTTATGTCTTTAGCCAATATTGTTAATATGCTGCATCTTTTCTCTCTGATTTTTTCTTGCAACATCAGCATCTTCAAATATTTTCTTGCGGGTCATTCCTCTTTTCTTGCTTGCTACACTTTTCTCAAACCTCTTTTTGTGGTGTTTTAAAGACAGTTTTCTTTTTTTTATCTTTTGAAGATCGTAGTTGACAGGGAAGCAAGAAGCCAGAAGAGTCCCCCAAGCGAGAATTGTAGAACGCTTCAATTGCCTCTTTTCAATTGGACACTTTATGGACAGAACAATCAGTTATGTGTCATGCGTGATATACGCTTAAGCGATCATGTATCTTTCGATACATGACTGACGAAGCAGAGTTTTTCCCACAGTAGGTTGCCATTTCTTTCTGCGGTAGACTAGTTGCCATCCAAGTCTATAGAACCCGGTCTGTTCTGCTATTTACCCATAGCTGGTGGGGGGGGGAGAAGAAGAGGATTCATACCTTTCCCAAGGGTAATAGTACGTAAGTAAACGAAATAGATTGGACTAGAATTCAAATTTGGCTCTCTGATTCCTCAATCCGAGCCGCTGAACAGGCTGACTTAATTTCAATGGTGCTTTGGTACAATTACGGCGACGGCTGGATGGAGAGGAAGAGGATTCATATCTTTCCCAAGGGTGTTAGCACGTAAGTGAATGTAATGGATTCGACTGGAATTCGAACTCGGCTCTGCGATTCCTCAATCCAAGCCGCTATCCATTACTCCACCGCTTGATACATTAACACATATTAAGATCTTATCCAAGAACATACTGAAATACTACTACTACTACTACTACTATTATTACTACTACTATTATTATTATTATTATTATTATTATTATTATTATTAATAATAATAATAATAATAATAATAATAATAATAATAATAATAATAATAATAATAATAATAATAATAATAATAATAATTGTGTTGGCTCCTAATGCAGATTCTGGGATGAATATCCAGAAACAATTGACCATCTTGTATCAGATTGAACGGGATTAGCACCCACTGAATATAAAACT